AATAATTCGCCGTGCGAGAGCGAGCGCCGAGATACGGTTGAATGTTAAACTTTGCGGGCCTGATGAACGTGTCTAATTACGTGCCCCGATTTCTACGAAACGATGTCGCAGTAGTTGGCAGAGTTTACATAAGGTCATATCTTCTGTATCTGTGAGATACAGAAGATTTCCTTCGCAATATTTTGCGCTTCTCTTTCTCTCTCTCTCTCCCTCTCTCTCTCTCTCTAATGTTTCACATCAGGCTTGCGACATCGGTAAACCGATTGGTATTTTTCAATAATTTCTGGAGAAGAGCCAAATTATCTATCGTTTATTTAATGAGCCAAAAGCGAATTAATTATCATGAAATGGTTAAGTATTTTGTAACATCTCTCTCTCTATTTTCTCATAGGATCAAGAATTTACGCCGTTTGTGGAAATTAAAGATACTTGCTCATATTATACGTATATATATATATATATATATATATATATTTATATAATTCGCGCGGATATATTTAGAAGCTAATAGACCGGCGTGACTTTGCTACATTGCGCGAAGAAACTTTCAATAATCGCCGGGCACATCGACAGTTCGCATAATTTACAAGCCGTGTCTGGGAAACACACGCGCAAGACGGCCCGTCTCCGACGATCGTACAAGAGAATTTACTCAACGGCACTTACAATCGAATATTTCGGATAAAAGGTCATCGTGTGCGAGTCGAAAGCGATGTCAAGTTTCGGCGTCGTAAAATCAACGATTAGGTCGGGTTGTCGCAGAACTGAAAGCCACGACGACGATGATTCAAGACGACGAAGAACCTGTGCTATAAGGAACACACACACATCACATCTCTCTCTCTCTCTCTTTCTCTCTCTCGCTCCCTGCTGCGTAGTTCGGTTATATTTCCGCGGGTATCGTGACGGCTTTAATGAATTCGATAAGTAGGTATATGCTAATGGGGGGAGCACAGACGAGAGAGATCGGGAAGGAGAGAAGAGGGAGGTCCATTCTTGCGGGATCGTCGATGGCCTGCGAGCGAAATGGGCCCCCGTGAGTGAGTCATCTGAAGGAACTGGTTTCTACCGTAATACCCAGGTATCGCCGATAAAGAATCATTCCGACGCCTAATAACTTTGGCTCTCGCGCCTCCGCGATTCGCCCGTGACAAGCCGTGGAACCCTGGAACCGGAATCGGATGCCCGTTGTATGGGAAAGCGAAGGCATAATAATGATAACCTTCCTCTCTGTTATATGACAAAAATTAAAACCGTAATAAACATCCATCTAATAAGTAACTTCCATGATAGAACACTTGTAGTTTTTACATAGACGATAATATTATAGAACTAATTCTTTTCTTTATTGCATATAGATATAATTCTATGTGATTATAACTGTTTTACACCGTGTGTAAATGAACGAAAGCACTTTATCTCGCGCGTCTGACTGCGCTCTGCTCTTCTCAGTAAATTAGAGAATTTACTTTTTGGACTGCGCGCTGCAAGAAAACGAACGCGCGTGCGTCGATCATACTTCCTTATTGATCGCGGTCACAAAGAGAGAGAGAGAGAGAGAGAGAGAAAGAGAGAGAGAGAGAGAGAGAGAGCAGCGGAAGACGAATGTTTTATCGATTAGATCGCGGCGACGTCAGTCTTGCGTGCACGTGAGGTAAGCCGACGACACTGACGAAGTATAGAACACCGGTGCGATCGACGGACGACGACGGTAGGCGGACAACGGCGCAACAATAAATTACGTTATATCAGACGTACGAAATACCTCGCGTATCGGCCTTGCGATCACAGCCCCCTGAATTATCGCACCGATCTGCAATACGGGATTTCCATACCGCGGATTCCCATAAATTCCTACGAGAGAGGGTCGATCTTTCGGCTACCTCTAAATCTGTCAGAACACTTGCGCGCGGCGAGACGGTTTCTTCCCGAGAATCGTGAAATCGCACGAATACAACACACCGGTTAATCATCCGGCGATCGGTCGTTTTGTTTTGTTTTGTTTTTTTTTCACATCTCGTCGTCACACGCGAGAAGTGATCCCGTTATCAAAAATATAGATTCAATCTGAGATTTGCGTAAAAAAATGAATAATTTCGAAACAAACATTGTCCCCCTCATTTGTATTCACAAAGTAATACAAAGTAATTTAAACACAAAGTTATATCACGGGGCTCGACAGAAAGATTATTATACATTCATTAGCACACGTTCTGTGTGCCACCAAAACGCTATCGTCAAAAGGTTAATTGTCGATGGGGCAGGTAAGAGCGACCGATTAATAACTCGCCGCACATATACAAGTCGCGTATAATTATGTTAACCCGGGACAGCGCGCATCATCAATTATACGCAATTAGATGAGCCGCGTAGTAACGGCATAGAACGTATGCACATACGTGCGGATCGTGTGTGCAACAAGACGTTCGCAGTGGGTGCAGCCTGTATGGGAGGTCCGAGTATCTCCATCCAACGTCCCCACCTGCAGTTAACCCCGACTTACCGGAGGCGCGCGCCTATTGGTTGCCCCCCGCCATTTTTCCGACTTTAATGATAATGGGATAATGATGATTACACCGTTCAACTACCTGCGCTAGACGCGCGCGGCACCTCTCTCTCCCTCCCTCGTTTCTCTCCTGTTTATCTGCCTATCTAGTCGCTTTCCAGAGTCCGCTGGCGAACATGGAAAGCGGATAGACCGATTCTCGTCAAGGCGACTCGCAGCCTCCACTTTGTGCCACTTTGGAACTAGCGTCAAGAGATACAATTCGAGATGCAATTCGAGATAAAAATTCAATACATATTCACGCACGCAGAAACGCAATTACCCTACCGCGCGCATTAACGGCACGGCCGGCAATGTTTGTTTTCCGAAACGAGGTATAAATGACTTATGGCGGCGTGTACGCAATATCACGTGTGCTTTACGAATATAACGCATCAAAGTGCGCGCAAACGTTAATGCTTTCGTTCGCCTTGACGACTCTATATATCGCGAGGCAATGTGTCATCGCGCGCGCTAATATACATATGTATTATACGTCGCGTCTACTTAAAACGCGAATGCCGGAATTTCAGAGATATTTTAGACATCGTCGGTATAATAAACCGCATTAGATAAACGACGCTTCCTCGTGCGGCTGTATATCAAACCGAATGCCATTGCGCCCGGGTGGCACGGTTAACCAACAGGCGCTGATTACTCTGTTTAATATTAATGCAGAGATGAAATTAACCGATAAACGGTGTAAATCGTAACGGTGCTCGCTATATCGCCAACGGGGAAGCGGAGTGCCACCCACCGCGTTTGCTCGGCGCGTTCCGATTGCGGCTCACGTGGAACATCGCCGCCGTCGCGGACGGACGTTTTGCGACTTTACAGCGAGATCACGAGAAAACCATTAACCGCAGAAACTATTAGGCGCAGAGGCTGCGCCGAGGACGTGGTACACACCTACATCGTAATCTCACGAAATTTGAGCGGGTTACGAGATAAAATCTACGAAAAAAAGTTTGAGAATATCTGGGGTATACGTGTAAGAGATCGCGTTAACTTATCAAATGAATATCAAACGCACATTCTTCACACGGTGTTTAGATCAATTCAATAATTTGATTATGTGTTAATTTATGCAAAATAATAATCGGAAATATTACCGTTCGCGCAAATGTTTCTTCAGATTTGTACAAACAAGTGATTTTTGTTTTAATTATTGACATCAAATTAAATTGAATTACGTCACTCCAATTTACGCGTCTCCAACTTTTGGCAATCAAGAAGTTAATTAGGATGAATTGCTCTCAGTGGAGAAAAAAAAAGACAAAAAACTACGAGATCAGTCGCAGTTAGACGACTTCCGCAAACGTTGTCGGCATGCAAACGGACCCATAACGATTCTGTCAAGCGGTTTTTATATGAAGACATATTGCCGCAGTTGAACCGCGTCTGCGTTCTTGGCTGCGTGCTTTTCTTTCTATTCTCCGCAGACAGAGGTTAACCACAATTATTCTATTAAGCGTTAGATCATCGGTAACAATAGTCAGAAATAGAAGCAATCGATCGATTAGTCGTACCAGAGTGATGTTATGTGATTCGTCGCGTAAACAGCTCAATGAGCAACCATGCTCGATTAAATGTTGCCGGAAGACGAAAAATCGATGCGAGAGATGTGTTATTGCGAAACCGACATTCGATCGGCTGTTCGCCGTTGTCACTTTAGCTGTAAATTTTGCGGGTTCTAGGTATCTATTCTCGAGTCTCGTAATTTACGTGAGAGGCTTAAGAGCCCCGTTCGTTCCGAGACATCGGAGCGAGGAATACGGTCTTACCTCAGTCCGAGGATTTGTCGCCCGAAACGGTCTCTCCCGCGCAACCGTCGTCGCAGTGAGAGATTAGGCGTGTCGAAGAAACCCGAGTCTCGTATGCTCGTATTCGGTTATCTATCTCGTCGGGCGATGGCGGCGCTTAACGAGGGCGTTAATCGAACGTAGCGAGCGGCACCTTTCTAAGTGCGCACGAGCGCACGTTAAATCGATCGCGAATTATTGCGCCGGGTTTACGGTGCGTAACTGCCGCACGTTTCGCTGCCGCGTGTTGTCGCGACGGGTCACCGCTTTTCATTTTCCGGTCCTATCCGGACACAAGCCTAAGTGGTCTGCCAAGGTTTCATCACCTCGTATATGTGCGGGCGACCGTTCAGGCTTTTACGAGTCTACCTACTAGCGTGTATAATAATATAATAAACATTTTATTGCCCGCATGAACGGTAAACACTCAATAAATATTGCCGAGCGGCAAATCGAGCAAAGAACTTCGCGGCAAAGATGTTTAGTCAAACGCGATAAAGACATATTTACGCGTAGTATGGGTTTCTTTATATTTCTCACAATAATTATTTGCGACACCTCAAACATTTAAACAGTTTGTTTAAAAACATCGTAACGCACACTTTGCGATAAATTTTTTTTACATGTAACTATCTTTATTGTATTATATTTAGGGATGTACACCTTGAAGGAACACCTGCACAATCACGATATCGTGATACCACGGAAGGTGAATCACCAGGGCGATTTGATCTCGCATAATGTAACGCATCATCATCATGAGGACGGGCCGGTCGTTCATTATCGTGTGCCAGTGGCCGGTAACGAGTACCACCTCGAGCTGACGGCGGTCGACAACTTCATCGGACCCGCGATGATTGTAGAAAGACGGAAACGGTCGCTTCACGTCCGCAGCCCGGCGAAAAGTCATGCCAGCAAATGTCATTATCGGGGATTCATTAAGGGCCATCGGAATTCCCGTGTCGCCCTGTCCGCCTGCGACGGTCTGGTGAGTTACACTTTCGATTTTCCGATAGGTCGAGTATACCAATATTCAGGTCACGTTTTACACAATTATAGAGAAAACTCTAAGATTTACGAGAAGAAGAAAAAAAAACAGGATACGCTCTTATCGCTCGATACAGCGGTTAGATTTTATTTGGCCAGATAAAATATGTAAAGTGCGTGTATTTAAGACAAATTGCATAAGCTTTTAAATCTAACAGATCGAAAGCGTGTAAATATATCGCCGGGGATCATTTACATCTCCCGATCATTTGCATGATCTGATGCAACGTCGAACCGCATTAGAAACTGAACGGAACGAGCGAAGTTTGAAGTGATATAATGTGGCAAGTGCGATTGAATCGTCAGCTGCAATTTGCAGACGGAAGGCAACTTCAATCCACTTGCTCCCGGCGATTCAACGCACTCGCTCGCCGTTGCACTTCTAAGTGGCGGTGGAAGAGTATAACGAGAGATAAAATCTGCAGTGTCAACGACTGTCGATCCCATTAGCCGTTCGTACATAAGAACGAGGTTTGAAACGCGCGTGAATCCTGTCTGTTAAATTATGAACTGTCGGACATACGCGTCGCAATCGAGATCGTAAATCTGCTCGATAGTTTTATACGCTCGCGTCGGCGAGCCGGAGCGCAAAGTTTCACAGTCAGCTTGACGAAATTTCCCTGTCCCCCGAGAGAAGGACAGACTCCCGAGCGAGAGATCGCGAAGTAAGCGACAGCCGATACATCAAAATGAACATGTACTTTGCATTCGCGTTATCTTATATTCGCGAACGCTCGAAAGCGAGAGGCTGTGCCGTCCTTAAACCCGCGGTGGTTAACAAAACGCGCTTCGACTTGTTAGGTCTTTTCATTATAATTTTCCATGGTGACTCTACATCAATCATATTATACGCGCTTGTCTCTCAGACGACAAGAAATCTCTGTACAGCGAGCTGGAGCGAGGCGATCGCGATCTACGATTGCAATTTGCAAGGCATGCGGGAAAGCAAATAACGCGTGTCGTTTCGATCTTTGACTCGCGCTGATGATAAGAGCGCGCGTTTCACTTTGTTCGTTTTTTTTTTCTCCGCGTGCAAAAATCAGACGCGGTTATTCGTTAAGCGTTGCAGATTAATTAATGGGATCCGGTTGACTCACGGCCGGCAGCTCGAACGAAATCAGGTCGAATAGTCTGGCTGCAGCGTGCGAGTCAATTTTTCAAAAGCGATTATCCCGTAACTGAAATGCACTTCTTTTGTCAATGTCGTGACGAAGTGAACCGAAACTGTCGGGATGAAAATCCGGTCGGACAGGAACGTCTCTCTTGCGGCGAAATGTTTTCACAAACCGTCACCCGCTGATGTGCCACTCACATTATTGGACGTACAATTTTGGAAATCAATGAATTACAATGGATTCATACAACGCCCGATGTAAAATAACATGCAATGTCATGCAAATGAACGGCCATATATTTTCCCACAATTGGACATTTGTGTGTCCTAACACACATTTCACATTAATTTAAAATTTATTATAATTAGATATTTTATAATCATTTAAAAGGCGTTTTATATGGCTTGTAAAATTTTCTCGTAAGTTCTTCGCTTGCCGACATGGCGTTTTTCAAGCAAAATATTATTCTCAAAATGCATCATCATACGCGGTGAGCGTTTCTAAAACACTCTCGGGGGCTGTGCAAGCCGCGCGCCGTTCGTAACAAAGATTACGCCGCTGAAAGTTGAAAATTTTCCGGAAAACGTGCGCGCTCTCGCTCCCAAGCTTGCGGCCGCGGCGCTTTTATCATCATCTCCATCAGAAATTTATGTGTATTAGTCGGCGCCACATAATTGCAAACCGCCGTAGAGCGCGAGCCATAAGAAGAGGAAATACTCGCGGAGCTTCCCGCGCGCGAACGTAAACTCGCGGTAACGGCGTTTAAGGAGAATGCTGACGGAGGAATGCGAAGGGGGCATGAAAAAGATGCGTCCCGGTCACAATGGAGGAACGAAGTAAGAAGGTGTACCGGCCCGCGAGCATGCATCAGCGCAATTTGCTCGCAACTTCCAGATAATGATTTAATTTGCCACCGGGCTGACAGATTTATGACGGCGCACCTAGTAGTTGTCCACGTACGCGCGCGTAACACGCCCGCACGCGAGTGCGTACGTACATGTATATACCTACGTTATAAGGCCGCACACAGCCTCGATTGCGAGGTAATGCCGCTCCCCAACATCAGTACCGAGTATCCTATCGGCCCAACAACGTGGGGACGCACGCTGCCAGAGTTCTCCTTATGGACGCCCGGTTCTCACGCAATACTGTGTAATTGCTCAATTTTCTCCGAGAACCTCGCGGAACTGCATATCGACCGCGGTAATCGCACTCCACCGGGCGTGCATATTACAGAGACACGAAATTTCGCGGAGTCGTGACGCCGGAACCACGCAGGTTTCGGGTCAAGATATTCCTCTGCCCTCTAATTGAACCTTTCCGCTACGCTTCAAAGTGTTTTCGAAATATTAAATGAAATCTCTCTCGTGTTGTAGTTTTGTTTCTCTACTTTAAAAGTACGCACAAACATTTGTGGCGGTGAAATCTAGTCGCAACATTCTGCGGCGACTACTAATAATAAGGAAAATTCTGAACAAGGATTGGAATAAGTTTCTATGCAATAATGAACGAGATTACATTGTCACATTGACTAATCGGCGATCTCAGACCGATTTCGACACACACTTGGGTTTAGCTACTGCACAGGTAGGTGCAACTCTGTTTACCGAGGTCTTATATCGTGTGCCTACCTCTTGCGGGTGATTTCCGTTTTTATTGGGCCATAAAATCTGCGGCACGAAGGCACGCGAGAGAGGAGGTGGTTTCGACGTGTAACCGCCATAAAACTCGAGCCTACTCGCGCCACTTTAAGCTCGGTTTACGCGAGACCAAAAGCGCTATTTAATAGCCGATCGACACAAGCGACACTGATTTAAAAACCGACGTTAAATACCCTTCAAATTTTTGTCGTAGGCGAAATCATCAATTTTCAGAACTGACCTTTTTGCTCTTTGACGTCGCAATGCAACCCTATATGCTTGTTTATTTACTCGTCGTACCGCTTAATTCTCTCGGATCCTACCTAGAAAAAGTGTGTGTAAATAATCACAATCGATTCTCTCGATATTGATTGTTGCCACTTTATCTCGACTCGATTTTCTCGATTTATGAATTGATTTTTTTGCGTTATGTCTGACATCTCTCGTATGTACATCATGTGCATTATATGTTTCTAAGACGTTTATATGTACTGGCTGTGATCGTGGTGACAGGTTGTGTTTACTGGCACGACATGTTAAAATAAAATCAATAACAGCGAGCTTGTGCTGGTAGTTCTAAATTCTGTTTGCACATATTGTCCCTCCTCGCTGCCGTTAATCGCGAGCTAATATTCATCGATGCAATTCGGCGAGCGATCTTCGTAATCGACGTTGATCTGTTCGTGTCACTTACGTGCTTTACGGATCTCGGCTTATTTGCGCGCGATATAAACGAAACAATCGTTCCATATCCCGCAGTGCAATATTGTACAATTGTGCGTGTGTTTGTATACGCAAGAGAGGTCAAATGTAATTGGCGCCAATACGTAATGTTTAGCAATTTCAGACTAGTCCGGTAATAGTCTCATCTCGCGAGTTAATCCTCCGGTACAACCTCCATTTCGGAGGCTACCGGCGTAACGCTGAGTTAGAATTGAATCTAACGATGATCACCTTCCTCGCGCTGTTCTAAACACTGTGATTGCGTACTGAGAAATCTTCAATTAAATACGGTTATTCATTGTCTCGATAATTATTGTTGATCGTCAAAACTTAGATTGTTTTCGTTTATTATTTTCTTTGTCATAAAATTAATCAATTATCAAATCTAAGTTTCTCTTTTTCACACGACTGTGGAATAATTTCTTGATATAGAAAAAATGTAGAGCAAATTTGTTCTATATTTATCATCGTTGTAATTGCATATCTTGCTTGCTGATACGAGCAGAATTGAAAAATTTCAGTTCACGCTGAGTTCAAAATTCATTGTCCGATACCCTCTCGCTATCTCCAGAGCAATCGTTCTCGCGATATCTCGTCCACTACGTTATTCTTCCCACCGGGAGGGAGAGAGAGAGAAAGAGAGAGTGAAACGTATCGTAATTAAATTTTATCTTCCACCAGTCCGGTCTCTCTTTTACACCACGATCGCACCTTTTCTTGATAAACCTCGCGAGTTGTACGTTTGCGAACTACCGGTTAAATCGTTTTTCGCACGGAAATTTTATCAGACGCGGTCGAGACTTCTTTTCAACGACGAACGAGGATTTCCGGCTCGCGGGACAAACGAGGCGGATTTTATCCTCGCAACGCTTCAAGAAGCGGATCCTTTAGCCCGCTTATCTGCGAGCGCACGAACGCTCTATGAGCGCGAGAGCGCGAGCACTGGTATCACCGGAGAGTATATCACGGATACAACATTTCTCTCTCTCTCTCTCTCTCTCTCTCTCTCTCTCTCTCTCTCTTTCGTTCACTTTGTTTTCTTCTCTCTCAGGACGTGTCTATTAAATTTCCAAGAACGATCGCGAGAGCCGATAGACTTCAGTCACGGCGACTGCAAAATGCACCGCAGACATGAATCTTGTCGCGTGACTCTTCTTTAACGAACGGCACTTACGGATAAGTCATTAGCATTATTCCACCCGAACGAAAGAAGCCGTCGTCGTTTTCTTGTGCAATTAGTTTCGTCACATACCGTCATATCGTAAATGAACGCGGTAATGGCGTCGCGTTTTATATCTCGATTAATTGCTTTGCGGGATTCGCGATTGCTACCGTCGGTTCTCGTCGATACGCAAATATCTTTCGCAATTTAGTTCTTTGTGCATTGCTGTAAGTGAACGGCGTTGTAATCTAGGATTATTATTTTACTTTGTGCGTTATCCTAGAGATTATTGTTATTATTA